GGAGATGACCCCAACATGCCCAGCTCGCTGTGGTGGGCAGAAAGAGCCCCTCTCTCTGTCCCGGGGACACGATTCGCTGTGGCCAGGGGTTTGGCAGAGACTGGCTGAACTCATGCCATGGGACATGGAGTGGCTGGGCGCTGCAGGGAGCTTTGTCCCCCATGCCCAGGGACACGCTGGCACAGCATCTGTGTGCTGGCCATGTCACCACGCTGGCCCTGGTCAGCGCTGGCAAAGCCACCACCCTGTGTTGCACAAAGACGGACGAGATGACCATGACCATCCCCACCACCAATGGGGGACCATGACCATCCCCACCACCAACGGGGGGACCATGACCATCCCCACCACCAACGGGGAACCACAACCAGCCCCACCACCAACGGGGGACCATGACCATCCCCACCACCAACGGGGGACCATGAGCATCCCCACCACCAAACGCTGGCCCTGGTCAGCGCTGGCAAAGCCACCACCCTGTGCTGCACAAAGACGGACAAGATGACCATGACCATCCCCACCACCAACGGGGAACCACGACCAGCCCCACCACCAACGGGGGACCATGACCATCCCCACCATCAATGGGGGGACCACAACCATCCCCACCACCAACGGGGGACCGTGACCATCCCCACCACCAACGGGGACGTGGTGCAGCCTGTTGTGACCATCCCCACCACCAATGGGTGACCGTGACCATCCCCACCACCAACAGGGGACCGTGACCATCCCCACCACCAACGGGGACGTGGTGCAGCCTGTGAGGACGGTGACCTTCACCCTGCAGGATACGGGGACCAGCCCAGCCCCTGTGGCACTGTGGGGCAGGCACAGCGAGCAGGGAACAGCCACGTCCCAGGGACTGGGCTGAGCACCCACTGGGGTTTGCAACCGGGGGACGTGGTGCAGCCTGTGAGGACGGTGACCTTCACCCTGCAGGATACGGGGACCAGCCCAGCCCCTGTGGCACTGTGGGGCAGGCACAGCGAGCAGGGAACAGCCACGTCCCAGGGACTGGGCTGAGCACCCACTGGGGTTTGCAACCGTGCTCCACACCATCTACAAGGCAATTAACGGTTATTAAATACCTGGACATTAGCCACTCCTGGGCCCCACTGCAGGGCCGTGGTGTGGTGCTCGGTGGGGACATGGGGCAACCTCCTGGGGGTGGCCAAAGCTTCAAAGGGACCCCAGGAGACAAGGGGATGCAACACACCTGGGCTGCCCCGAGGGGATCCTGCCCCAGGGCAGCAGCTCCCACAGCTCCTGCTGCTCCCACAGCTCCTGCAGCTCCTGTCCCCTCCCCGCTCGCCGTTGGGGAGGCCTGTCCCCAAGCACCAGCAGCAGGGTTCAGCAGGATGCTCCGTGACAGCGAGATGAGGGGAATCATGCCTGGATGCAGCTCTGGTTGTGCCCAGGAACGTAACACAGCCCAGAGGGACAGGAGCAGGCACCAGGCCCTGTGTGGGTGCGACACTTGGATGGTGCTTGTTCCATTTGCCCTGATTAAACGGGCAAGAGGGAGGAAGGTGGGGAGCAGTGAGCGGACAAAAAGCCACCTCCCCAGTGTCCTCGCAGCCTGGCCATGCACGGGAAGGACCCAGCACATCGCAGCCCCCTCGAGAGGAGCAGAGCCAGCCTGCAACACAGGCTGAGAACTCCAAACTCATCTCACAGGTGAGCAGATCTGTGCTTAAATTGGCTTGAATGTGGGGGCTACTGGGACCGTATTTTCTCTGCCGTGCAGGCGAGCATGGGCATGGGCAGGCAGGATGGTGGGGTGGGTGGGCAGACAGGGTCTATGTCCCCCCTCTCTCCCCAGCCCCTCTTCTCCCCTCCCAGCCAGTACAGGGGCCCTGCAAGGCATCGGCACCCAGAGCCCCTGCCCTGCCCTGCTGCGCGGTGGCCGTGACTCGGGGCAGAGGCACCAGCCTTGACACAGTGTCCAAGCAGGGACCAAACCCAAACAGGTGCCCAGTCCCCGCTGGGGCCGCGGCACCTTATCAGGCCTTGGCAGCGCCGAGCGCCCGCTGGGGAGACTGTTGTGTCTGCGGGAGGAGGCAGCGCTGGCGGCTGGCGGGGAGCACAGAGGATGGGGATGCTCTCGCTGCACAGCCCCTGGGGTTGTCATCCCCCCCCTCCTCTGGCCAGGCACAGCTCCTCCTGACCATCCCAGCACCATCCTGCGTGGTGGAGAGGGGCTGGTGTACCCCACAGCCGTGCTGCCCCCCGCCCCAGTGCCAGCCAGGAGGGTGCTCAGCGCACGGTGTTTGACTCTGGGTGCACAGCACCCCCAGCCCCAGGCGGTGCCAGCCAGGAGGGTGCTCAGCGCATGGTGTTTGACGCTGGGTGCACAGCACCCCAGCCCCAGGGTGTTTTGGGTTCCCTGTACCCCTTTCCCAACCTGTTTTGGGGTTCCTGACGCTGTGGGGGTCAGGGCTGGCTGCTGCTTCCCTACCACTCACCCCACAGGGTCTGGAGCTGCCCCATCCCTGGGGAGAGGCTGCAGGTTCCCTGTACCCCTTTCCTAACCTGTTTTGGGGTTCCCGAGGCTGTGGGGGGTCAGGGCTGGCTGCTGCTTCCCTGCCACTCACCCCACAGTGTCTGGCGCTGCCCCATCCCTGGGGAGAGGCTGCAGGTCAGCGCAAGGCAGGGGCAGGAGGAGGTCTGGGGGTCAGAGAGGGCTGGAGACCCCCAGCCAAGGGTGGCCCTGATGGAGCGGGTGAGGTGCAGGGCTCTTTGTCCCCACAGTGGGACACGGTGACTGCACACACTGCAGGACCCCAACACCTCCCAGGCTCTCGCAGCCCTGTCCCCACCAACCCACTGGTCTCTGTCCCCTCTTGGCACGAGGCACCGGTGGCCGGGCAGACCCCACGGAGCACCCAGCTGCTCTCCCCACGGCCAATGCCCCCTGCTCTCAGCCCAGCCCCTTCCTCCACTCCCCTCCTCGCTGGTTTTACTCCCCATTTCCAGGCAGCATCTCCTCCCCGACCCTCCCTCGCCTTGATCCCAGCGGCTCCTCCTGCCCCCGGCTGCCTTTCCCACAGCTCCCACTGGCCTCCTTGCCCCTGGCCGGCGGGACGAAGGGTGGGTGACCGGGCTGTGCGGGGGCTCAGCCCCCCCGCTGGATGCATCCCATGGGGCGTGGGTACCGGGGCGGGCGAGGGGCGTGTTGGGCGGCGCGGGGGCCGCCGTGATAACAGCGGGGGCCGTGCCAGGGCCATCAGAGCAGACGGAGCGGGCGAACAGGATGAGCCAAGCACCCCTGTCCTGGGCAGCCTGGCCCCGAGGCAGCAGTATGGGGTCCAGCAGCCCCCAGTGCCTCCTCCGCACGCTCTGCATCCTCTGGGTGCTGGCCGGGCACCTGCCCCCCACCACGGCCCAGTGGTTTTACCCCCTGGGCTCGGAGGACACCACACCGGATCCGAGCAGCAGCCCCATGGCCCCCACGGCGCCCACCCTGGACTGGGAGGAAGGTAGGCATGGTGGGGTGGGGGTACAGCTTCCCCAGCACCCCCAGCTCCTGCACCCCAGCAAGGAGGGGGAACCACAGGTTTAAGGCTGGAAGGTGGGGTGTGGGGTGCTGGGGTCCAGGGCTGCTGGTGGCACCGCTGTGGCTGCAGTGAGTGTGGGGGGCCGGGAGTGCTGTGCCACCCCAGTCTCCCTCCGTCGTCCCATCACCCCTCTGCTCCTGCAGACACGGACGCCGGCAGCGTGGAGCCCACGCAAAAGGTGCTGCTGAACAAGCCCCCGCTGGCAACAGCCCCCCGACGCCGGGAGCCCTTCTCCAGGGGGGCAGCGAAGAGCCCGGGCCGTGCCCTGCCACGCACTCGAGGAAAGGTGCCTTTCCCCGTGCAATGTCCCCCCCCCAGAAAAACTCTCCAGCCGCTGCCGAGCTCCTCACCACGTCCTTCCTCTTATCTCTGCCCTGCTTCAACCCCGAGCCACGGCTCAGCTGCCTCTGCCCCCTCGAAAAGGAGCTGTGGCAGCTCCCAGTGTCCCCCCCACGGCAGCACTGGGGCTCAGCCATCACCCAGGGTATCAGGAGGGTCCCTGTGCCCCCCAAGATCTCCCCCAGCCCCACACTGAGCTCTCCCTGTCCATCCTAGCAGCACCGACCCACGGCCGCCCCAGAGATCTTCGAGGGGAGTGCGGAGGAA